AATCCTTGCTCCAGCGAAATCAATGGCAAAACTCCCATTGACTTTAATGGGCCAGGTTTTATCCAAAGGGAGCAGTAAGGAGCAAGAATATGGGGAAGTTAAATGAGCAAGAGAGGCAATTATTTCTGATCATTCTAGAATAAGACCAGGATCAAAATACCTAACATAACTTTAAAATATCCAGTTTTTTTAAAGAGCAGTTCAAGGATGATTTGGGGTTCTGTTCCTGCATTCCTCATTCAGCTGTCTAAGAGCTGCAGGAGCAGGACTTCATGTTACTGTCACTATGCCAGAGTGAGTTACAGGTGAGGATGCCAAAATAAGAAGAAACTGCTGAGAAATAGGGCAGATGCAACCCAAGATGATTGTTATTCTTCCATAAAATATGCCAAGTCAGTAGCAAAAGTAAACTCCTGTTTCACCACACTGGTTACCAAGAATTCCAAATTGTAATCTCCTTAGGCATTCCAGCCGTTTTACCACTCAGACACTAAACTTAATGATAATGAAACGTAGGGTAATGGTGGTCGGAGACTCTCTTCTGAGGGGGACGGAGGTGCCCATCTGTTGCCCTGACATTTCATCTCAGGAGGTATGCTGTCTGCCAGGGGCCCGTATCCGAGATGTTAGAGGCATTGTCGAGAATTATCCGGCCTTCTGACTACTACCCCATGCTACTCATCCATATGGGCAGAAATGATACTGTGTGGTGTGACACTGAGCAGATCAAGAGTGACTACAGGGCTCTGGGAGTATGGGTGAAGGAGTTTGGAGTGCAGGTGGTATTCTCTTCGATCCTTCCTGTCGAAGGTAGGGGCCCAGGCAGAGACAGATGCATCCTGGAGGTTAATGCCTGGCTGCGAAGATGGTGTCGCCAGGAGGACTTTGGCTTCCTCGACCATGGGATGCTATTCCAGAAAGGACAGCTAAGCAGGGATGGCGTCCACCTTACAATATAGGCCGGAAGATAAGATGTTGGTTTCAGCCAGCTCAAGGGCACAGCACACATCTGACTCTCGGCTGCCAGCCAGGAAAGGGGGACCTGAAATCCATCTGTCAGCCATAAGAAAGACAAATGGGAGGGAGTGTGGGCTACAATGACAGAGAGAAAGGAGGGTCAGGGCAAAACTGGGAGGCAAGGGAAAATCAGGATCTTAGATGCCTATATACAAATGCGAGAAGTATTGCCCCTAGCTTGCCCCTCTGAGGTGCCTGGAGCATACAGTGCATAGAGCAATAAAATCAGCATAGTCTTTGAAGCCTTGACAGAGGCCCTGATATGCTGGCTCATCTGACCCTGGATAACTGTAAACGTAGATACGAGACGGTGATCAAGCCAATAAGCTGACATAGAGGCTGCGAGAACTGCCCTTGGTTGGCACCTATATTGATACGATCACACACAGCCGCCCCTGGGAAAGGAATCTCCCGCTGAGAAAAGAATGCCCAGTACTCACAATTTAGTTATCTCTCTTACAAGTGTAAATTGAGTTCACAACTCCCTTGTAAGAACTGGCATCACAAAGACGACCCAGCACCATTTGGCACCATAGATAAGAAAGAGAAATATGTGACCCCACGAATATAAAGATGGGTCCAGCAGCACACTCACTCTGAGCATCACTCTACCATCTACCTGCTGGTTGGGTTAGGTAATTGCCTCCCAAGTCTTTCCGAGGAATTGAGGGACCAATCCTGGCCTGACACATTGGAATCAAGAGACGCATAAGGGGGTAAAAATTGTACCCGTTTGTGTCCTTTTGTTTTTAGTGCATGCATAGAATAGAGCTCTTTAAAGATTAAGCTGTCACTTGGTACCCTTATTTTCTATCTCCTTTTTTCTTTGTAACCATTTTAAGATCTGTATTTGCTAGCAGTTAAGAAGTAGAACAATAGCCATTGTAACCACATGCTTTATAAGCCCCTTTAATAAACCTGTAACTGTTTAAGCTTTAAACTGACTCCTCCTGTTGCTGTAGCAGAACCAGACACAATTAAAAACTCCAGCCGGTCATAGGGGCAGACGCAGGCAGAGCTGGGCGTTGGGTCCTGTCACCTCTGTGGAGGCAGGAAAAGGGAATAAGGGAATTTGTGTGCAGCCATCTTGGTCTTGGTCTCCATGGGACAGACCCCCTGGGGCATTCGTCAGCCTTCCATAGGCTGCATGATTCTGGGATGCATTAACAGGTGTGCTGTGAGCAAGACACGAGAAGTCATTCTTCTGCTCTACTCTGCGCTGGTTAGGCCTCAATTGGAGTATTGTGTCCAGTTCTGGGCACTGCATTTCAAGAAAGATGTGGAGAAATTGGAAAGGGTCCAGAGAAGAACAATGAGAATGATTAAAGGTCTAGAACTTGACCTATGAGGGAAGACTGAAGGAACTGGGCTTGTTTAGTTTAGAAAAGAGAAGATTGAGGGGGGACATGATAGCAGTTTTCAGATATCTAAAAGGGTGTCAGAAGGAGGAGGGAGAAAACTTGTTCATCTTGACCTCTGAGGATAGAAAAAGAAGCAATGGGCTCAGAGTAGTCAAACACTGGAATAAATTGCCCAGGGAGGTTGTGGAATCTCCATCTCTGGAGATATTTAAGAGTAGGTTAGATAAATGTCTATCAGGGATGGTCTAGACAGTGTTTGGTTCTGCCATGCGGGCAGGGGACTAGACTCGATGGCCTCTTGAGGTTTCTTCCAGTCATAGTATTCTATGATTCTATGATAAATGTTTATTTAAAATCACGTTAATCAAATACAAGGTCCTTCTAATCCCCAGAGATCAGCTGCATAGCCAGATCTTACCCAATAACGTGGGTGCCAATCCTTTAGTCCCCAATATCTAAAAGTTTGTTTATAAAATAAAAGTATAAGGAGAAAGTTAAAATGGTTAAGCATATAGCGCAAAATTATTTCTTTTTTACCAGTAATGTTATTGTAACCCTTCTGCCAGGCCGAATTAATAGCAGGAAGGGCCGGGTTCAGTATCTAGGGGTCTCCTCCCAACAAGGCAATACAACACCGGCTTGAGCCCCCACCCAGTGACCTGGGAAGTTTTACATACACCCCTGGGTGCCTCGAAGAGGCAGTACTTCCCCTCTCACAAGCACAGAGCCTTGGTATAGCAGCAAATCTTTATTAACACGAGGTAACTGACCTCAGCATTAAATTGGGAAAACACCACAACTCGGATTCATAGACTAAACATGAGCAAAGACCGACCCCCCCAGGCACGAATCACCCAAAGTCCCCAAAAGTCCAACACCCCAAGAGTCTATGCCCCGGGTCAGTGCTGCCCCAGAGTTCAAAAGTTCACCTGGCAGGGTGTTACCGTCGCAACCTGGAGTGGGGCGGAGGTTGATACACCTTACATAGTCTGCTGATGGCTCCGCCTCTCCGTAGGGTTCTGCTGCCTCCAGCAATGCGAGTCACTCCACCACACTCCACCTGCTGTCCCGTGAGCCGCCTCAGCCGTCCCACAAACTGTTCGTACCCCTGGCTGCCAGCTGCTCGGTCCTGCAGCTGCTCCACTGGTTGCCTGCTGCCGCTCCTTCCCCTCGCCTGCAAGTTGTCCCCGCCCGCTGCTATGTTGGCCACTTGCCCTCGCCG